TAAAAGGGGGGCGGTAAATAGCAATTCACTAATTTTATAGTGTAGTTTGATGCATATTTTTTAAACCCGGCCCGGTAATTAATTCGGGCAAGTCTTCGGGTCACCGGGTCACCGGATCAACCGTCGGGTCACCGGGTCAATTGTTGAACCGAATAATTAATTTTAAAATTTATAAAATTATATATAGAGTGTTTTGTGATATATAAATATACATAAAAATAACAAATTATTTCTTATGTAAAATTTGTAGATTAAAGTGGTAATAATATGTATATATTTATCCTATAAATATATATACATAATTTTATTTTTTAAAAAGAAAAAGAAAATTAAAAAACAAAAAAAAATAAAAAAATACATATAGACCGGGTCAACCGGGTTGACCCAGCCGGGTCAATGCCCGGGTCGACCGGGTCAAGGTCGGGTCGACCGGGTTTTGACCGGGTCCGTTGTTGTCCGGTCCAATTAACCCACCCAGACCGGTTCCGACACCGGGTCGCCTGGGTCCCGGGTCGACCCGCCGGGCCGGTCCGGGTCACAAAATACTGGTTTCATGAGAAAATAGGGGAAATGAAACTTGTTATATTTTTCGTGTTACCTTTTTTTTTTTATATTGCCTCTGTTTATAGTAATAGACATGGTCAAGGCTCGAACTGGTTCGGTAAAGCCGGTTTTTGAACCGAGCCATCTCATTGTTTTTGTATTTTTTTTCTTTTTTATTTTCTAAAAAAAGGCGGTTCTACGATCATTGGGTCGGTCGGTTCATTTGCACCGGCCCTTAGATATATCGGGCCAGTTATGGGCCTAGCATTTGAGGCCCGCCGACCCAGTTCGGACTTTGAAACGCCTAAGTAGTAATAGTACTAAAATAATGCACCCATCTACTAGCGAGTCCATTTGATTATACAAGAGGTTCGATATCACGGTTTAGTATGGAAGGCATTATTTCATCAACCTTTTCTTCCTACAATGTGCAATACACTTTTGTTTTGGCTGCAAAATTTAAAACTAACAGATAAAAATAAAGTACAAAAATTAAATTAAATTATAATTTAAATGAAAAGCAACTTACAAAACACAAACATCTTATTGTTATTGTTATGTCAAAATTTAAATGAAAACAACTGCAAAAGAGGAATATTTTATTGTATTGATATATAAAAATTACTCGACGTCCTTCAAAGTTATTTCGGCAAATTGTGTTGTTCTGTTGTCAAAAGTCCTTGTTCGTGTTTTGTGTATACCGACGACTCGTCCAATAACATCTGCAAATAGAACAACAAATATTAATAGAATAAAAATTAAAGATTTAGTAAAGTACGAATAAAAATTGTACCGATGAGCATAGGATTGGAAAAGTTTTCCTTTAGCTAACTCAGAATAGCTCGTGAAATTGTAGAGAAATTTTGGAAATCTGTCTTCTATGACTCTCGCCACCGAGTGCGGCCATGAAAAGAAATTTTGTATCTTCCTAGTTTTGTCTTATACCTACCACCGTTTGGAGCTTCAATGAAGTCCCTAATTGCAACAACATTTCCTTCCTTCAAATGGCGCCTAAAAAGCTCCATATGAAATTTCCTAGTGGTCTCTTATATACCACCGTTTAGAGCTACTATGAAGTCCCTAATTGCAACAACACTTCCTTCCTTCAAATGGCACCTAAAAAGCTCCATATGAAAATTCTTGATAGAACCGTGAATACGGTATCCTTGAAATTAACAAATAATAAAAACAGTTATAAAAAAAAAAATCATTATAAGAGAAAAAGTATTATATATTGAATATTGGAATCGATTTACCTAAAAATCATGAAGTATTACTTCAAGACCTAAAAGTGTAAAGCGATCCCCAAGCCCAAACGTTGTACGCTCATAGCATACACGAACCTTAATGTTTCATTCAGTCTTCTCTATATTCACATTCTTAAGGAGAGTTAATGCAATGATTTTTTGTTATTCTGTATTATTTTTTTTATTGCTTGCTTTCGTGTGTGTTTTGTGTTTGTCCCATTTTTGTGTCTTTATTTCGTGTTTATTTTCTTTTTTCTTTTTCCCCACTTGTAGAATTTTCGTAGCATATTTGGTCCATTTCGTTGGTTTTCTGTTTTTCTCTTTACTTTCTATTTCTGCGTCTTTTTGCCGTGTTTTGCTTCGTGTTTTTTCCGTGTTTGTGTTTTCAGGAGATAGGTTGTGCCGGTCGAGGTTGGGACTGTTTGAGCGAGACCGTGATATTGAGAATTCCCATTGCCGAGCTCAGAAGACGACGAAGAAGACTGAAGGAAGGACTGAAAATGCTCCCAGAATTTTTCACGACTCACAGAGAATAACAGAGCTTGAACGAGCAGCACGCGAGATCGAGTTGCGACTCGCGAGTGATGTCGCGACCAACCCCAGATTTTGAAGAAAAGGACGACACGCGACTCGCGAGGAACTCGCGACTTGGCGACGTGAATTTCGAGATGCGGGATTTAATATCTGCTTTTGGACCTAGGGCATTCTATTTCATTCCAGACTTTGTTTTTATGATTTTTCTCTCCACCAAACTCATTGCTTTCACTAGTTTTTCACTTTTAATTATTTGGAGATTGAAAAACACCTTTTTCTCGCTTTGGATTTAGATGCACTTGGATTTGACATTGGGATTTTACATTAATCGTAAGTACTTTTTCTCAATTTGTTGATTGATAATGATGGCTTGGGTTGATGTGATGTGTGATGTTAAATTCGTTATGAGTAACTAAATCTATTTGCTAGGGATATGGGATGATTGATTAGGTTCGTTTCTGATTGCTTGCTTTTAATTGTTCATATATATGCGAGTTGTGTGAATTATAGGGTTGGTTGATTGATCACCATTATAACCTAGTTAATCAACGTGTAGAACCGAGAGGAGAGACGTTGGTCGATTTAGGCTCGTTTAGAATAGACTTGTTCGTCATAGTATTGTCTATGTATTGTTGGAATTGATAGTTGATTGTTTACATTCACTCTCTTGTTACGAAGAGTTATTGCGAGTGAACCTCAAAACAAGAAACGATTCAAGTCCTTTAACCGAGCACCTGATTGCCGGTAATTGTGTTAGAACCGAAAGCGATTATTCCCGATTCCCTAACTCTGTAGTTTAAAATCATTAGCTGATAATTAAAACCCAAAAACTATTGAATTAAAGTGTTTAGGATTTTTGTCTTCTCTTTTTCGTGATTGAATAATCGTACAATTAAATCCGGCTAACCTTCCTTGTGATACGACCATGGGAACGAATCTTTCGATTCTACTCCGGTAAAAATACTGACAACATTTTGCAATGAAGGTATGATATATTGATTCTGGAATAGATGTATTTATTTATAACAATTGAATAATACTCACTACTTAATCCCACTACAACATTAAAAACATGCAGTACTTCTTAACTGTCGAACACGATAGAGTGTGCCAATACTCCTAACTGTTGAACATGATAGGGACTGTAATCCAATTCAACCAACTGAAAAACGTGTGTTCATTTATCATTTATTATTTTTATTATTAGTGTTACTATTATAATTTATTAGTGTTTTTTTTAAAAAAAAAAATAAATTAAACCAAAAATGCGGCAGTTACATAGAAATGACGTACGTGAATCTGCTGAACACGATAGATATTTTATTGGTATTACTATTATTATTATATTATTTATTAGTCATTTTTGTGAAAAAAAAATAATTAAACCAAAAATGCGGCAGTTACATAAGAGCGACACAGAGTCCCGTTTTCTATGCCCCTACATAGGATATCTACGTTTATCCTTCCCCTATCTCATGTTTGTTCACAGGATTCAGACCCGAGATGGAGTGCTCGGCCCGAGATGAAAATGGCTTTTATTCCATGAAATTGGAATAAGTCGACCTTGGCCTCTAGAGAGATTAAACAAATCCTGACAAGCTAAAGTCCATTTTACCCTCATTTTAATTTGAACTTTTTGTGACTGATTTATTTCATAGGAGTAAAACAGTATTTAACACCATTTTGCTTGATTTGCGGTGACCTAGACATTTTTTTAAAGTTAAAGTTATCATACTCTTTAACATATATAACAAACATAGGATCAGCTTTATCCATATAGTACAATCCGTCACAATTGGACTATTTTAGTCCAATCACATTCTAGAAAGGCTAAGGGTTTAGGGGCTTAAAGGCTAAGGGTTCGGTTCATAAACCGGCGTATCCGGGCCAATTCCATGCCGGGTTGACCCGTGGCCATCCCCCTACATGAAGGAAATCAAAATAAACAAGACTTTTACTCACAAAAGTGGGAAACCACATTCAGTTCATCTAAGCAAGATTTTTTTTTACTCATCAAAATTAACAAAAGCAAGCAAGTAGAGATGATGAGACTACTGCTCGTTGCTAGTTGCTACATACAAAAGTACAATTTTGTTTGTGTCAGCAAAATGAAAGAGAAGCGAAAATTGCAAGTAATACCAAATCCCAAGGGCTAGCGCGTGAACTACAACTACTGCCGTTGAGATCTGCACTTCCAGCTGGCACTGCCCCACTCAAGCTTCCATTACCTGAGCTTGAGCTGCTCAAGTAAACGATAATTTTAGTAAAGACTACAGATAAATAAACAAACAAATTTAGTGCTAATCAATAATTAGGGACATTCTAGTTGCGGAACCATTCCATTCCGTCAAGATTTGTAGACGAACTATCCAGACGGTTACAACAAGATGATCTATCGGTTACAAATCTCAATGGAATAGTTCCGTTACCGGACAACATTTCCCCAATAATTAATCAAAAACAAAATTGGTGCACCCAGATTTCATTTCACAATTTGTCAAAAAAACAATATGGTATGATTCATAGAAATATTGAATGAAAAGTGAAAAAAAAAACATCACCTGGATGGAAATCTGCAATTACCGTGACCTGGCGGTAGTAATAAAAGAAAAAAAGTTCAGTATCTATCTACATTAACGCCCAATGTATTTTTAATTTTCAACAGAAAAAAAAAAAGGGGGAAATGAAAAGTAAAGATAAATTTACTGGGGTCGATGTTGGTAAGGGCAGCGTTGCCCCCAAAATTACAGGCGTCATCGGAAAGGGCGTGGGCGAGGTAGTAGGCGTTGAATGCGTACGACGCCGTATGCTGGAGGTCGGAGTCGACGTAGCAAGGCCTGCCTATCTGGATCGGCCCGCAGTCGACCTGCCCGCACGCCCAATTCAGGGCCTGCTGCAGGGCGGCGTCCTCCGCGTTGTTTTTCGCCACGCACCACAGCGGCGCCGCCGATCCCAAGGTGGAGATGAGCGGGAACAGTAGCAGAGACAGCGGCCCGATTAGGTTTCCGGCACCCATTTTTTTTTGCTTTGGGTGACAGAAAGAGAAAACAATTCTGTGTTGTGTGAGGGAGAGTATTTTGGTAGGCTTTTGATGCTGATTTGCGACGATTTATATATATATATATATATATATATATAAATTAGATAGATTGATTGTTAGGTTTATTATAATTATTATTAATATTATAATAATAATAATAATAATGGGAGGGAATGAGACCGTTGAGGGGTTCACGAGAGGAGCAAAAGAAACTGAGCAGACAATAGACAATCAAGTCTGAACGGAGTTTCTCAATATTTGCCGTTTTTGGCTGTCGAAAAGAAAAGAGCTGTGCACATGAATCGGTTTCCTTACCTATAATTGTCAGCAGCTGTTACTCCACTCCTCAAATCAGTAAAGTTGTATGGGTGATTAAGCGCTGATAGTAAGCACTGTTCGAAAAGTCGGCCGCCTCCTAGGCGCTAGGCGGCGGTGCGCCGCCTAAGATTTGCTAAAATCAGCCATAAAAATCGGCCAGGCGGGCTAGGCGGAGCTAGGCGGTCACGGCGGCTACGCGATTTCGGCGGGACTAGGCGGCTGAGGCGGGTTCTAGGCGGCTTTTGCAGTTTTTTTTTTTATTTTTTATTTTTTTACTAAATGCATATATTTTTTTTTTTATTTCTTATTTTGTGTAATGTTTAAAACATAACATGTAGATAATGTGTTTGATAAAATTACAATGAGAAGAATTTATATTGTGGTTATGTACTTATTTTGACTTGGAGTTTGTTTTATAATAGAATATTAATAATATTATTGGGACTTAGGTGTATGGATTTATTAATTATAAGTTATAATTTCATTAGTGAAATTGTAAAAATAAATAAAAATAATATATTTATTATAATTTCTAGGCCCCGCCTAGACCCCGCCTAGGCCCCGATTAGGCGCTCTAGGCGCTAGGCGCTGGTCGGACGCCTAGCGAGCGCCTAGCGACTTCTAGAACACTGATAGTAAGTATCTGAATGATGATTTAAAATTTTTATCATGATCATATCTTGTATTTATATCTTCTAATAAATTACTTTCTATCCCATGTCTTGTCATACTATTGAATCTCTCCAATTTTGATGAAAATCTCTCTCTCTTTTTTTTTTTTTTAAGACGATAGACTTTTATAAAAAAAAGAAAAAGAAAATAACACATAGGTATATTTAGAAATTGGTCAAAAGCCGAATCTAGTCGGAGGATATTTCATACGGGAGTCTAGGCTACCACAACACACCCACAATAATACAAACTCTCAATAAGAGAATACACAGATACCGACGGTATAATAAAACCCAAAAACAAAGAGAAACACATAAAAAAACACAAACTACACGCAATCACAACCTAAACGCACAAAAAAATAAATCGGGCCCTTCCTGCAGACGGACAAAAAGCACCGAGCAAACTATAACCACGACAGACAAGCCGACCACCTCTACGGACTGGTTCTCGCCCCTAGTATTAGAACCAGAAACTGCAACACACGCCTAACTAGGACTAACACCCACGAACTCAAACCCGCATCCAAGCGATCAATACCACCCCTTAGTCGAAGAAAAACCAGACAACCCCCACCACAAACACCACCGCTCCGAGCTCCACCCACACCACGACCTTGCTCATCACGCCAGCCATCCCTCGGCCCAACCACCATAGGCAAAAGGGAAAAAGGGGATAATCCATTCCTCTTAACCCAACCACCTCAACAAGATCGTCGGGATCGTAAGCTAACTCTGCAGAACCTTCACTGCCACGTCGCCCAAGAGATTGACGACCAACGACCCAAAAAGCAACCAAAGAAGCAGCGAGAACCTTCTGGGATCAGACGACCAACCCAGCCGGTGCGAGGAGAACGACATCGACTAAGAAAGGCTGACTCGCGCGGCCAAAAGGTGGCCGCCGTCAAGCCTCGGCGGCCCGCTGGAGAAGGAAATCGACGATCTAACGGGCTAGGATTTCACACGGATGAAAATGGGGGAAACGGTGTTAGAGAGAGGGCTTTTTTTATGAAAATCTCTTTCAATATGCATAAACATATCATTTCTATGTAAAGAGATTTTCTTTGATTATAACTCTCATGCCTCCTCATGTGGATCACTTTCTCCCCAAGTCTTATGATACTATTGAATCTCTCTAATTTTGGTTAGAATCTCTTTCAATATGCATAAACATATCATTTCTATGTAAAAATGTATTCTTAAATTATAAGTTCTTGTACAAATTATGCAACAAAAATTCTGTCTTTATTTTCGCCCAAATTGCCTTACATCTACAAGCCCTCTTCAGCAATTCGCGGTGGCCTCCCTTCTTCCTGCAAGCCATATGTCACAAAGCTTTTCCGGCATAGTCGGGGTTGGGTTCGAGGCTTTTGGCTCCACCCTCTTTCAGTTGTCAGGGTGTTTTGTTTTGGTGTCGGCTCACAC